TGTGTGTGTGAGGAAGATCAGCCCTGAGCTAACATCCATGCTAATCCTCCTCTTTTTGCTGAGGAAGACTGGCTCTGAGCTAACATCTATTGCCAATCTTTAGTTTCTTTTAATCGAGAACAGTCTCCCTACCTTTTTTGTTTTTCATTATATTGAATTTTTTTGAAGAGTAGGTCAGTGTTCTTGTAGAATGTCCCATATTTTGATTGTTTTCTCATTATTAGATTCAGGTCAAACATTTTGGCAAGAATACCACATAGGTGCTATACCATGTAATGTTAGGTTATTCCAGCATTGGTGATGATAAGTTGGATCACTTGGTTAAAGGGGTGACAGCTAGATATCTCCATTATAAAGGAATTTTTCCCCTTTGTAATGAGTAAACATTACATGGGGTGATACTTTGACATCATGTGAATATCCTGGTCAACAACAACCTACCATCCAGTGGTTTCAGCATCCATTGGTAATCCTTGCCCAAATCAGTGACTTCAGGGGTAAAGCTCTTAAGTAAGATTTTTATTTGTGTGTGGGGTCCAAAATATTTTTTAAGAATACATTCTGAAAGTGTCACGGAAACCAATGGAAAAAAGATTTTATCCGTAACTGTATTTATGCTCTTTATACACAGCTTTTTCATATGAACATGTTACTAACAGAGGTTTCACGAACAAAGAGTATCATGGTCAAAGAAGTTTGGTAATGTTGTCTAGTTCTTTATTTGCAAGCAGCCATCAGCCTATAAGTTCCACAAGAGGAATCATGTCTGCTTTCTTCACCATGGCGCTTGGCACATAGATCTTCAATAAATATTTGGTGAATCAATGAATGAATGGTTCTAAAAAGTATTACAGAGAAACCAAATATTTTTTCCAAAAGAAATTAAGGTAAGTGAATGAGGACAGGAGGGAGCTATGCTGATTGTCACTATTTAAGAGATGTGGCTAGAAAAAAAATCCATGCTTGTAGCCTTATAAAACAATTAGATAGGCTGCCCTCTTGGTGCAGTTGGCAGCACGTCAGTCTCATAATCTGAAAACAATTACAGTGGAGACTGAAAACAACTTGCTAGGACCAAACATCACAAGAAGGGCAGAATCAAGCATTAGTTCAGGATCAGACCTTTGAAAGCATCTGTTGCTCCAGGAGCACAGTTCTTGTCAGGGTGAAATTTCAGGGCAAGTTTTCGGTAAGCTTTCTTAAGCTCTTCATCACTGGCATTTTGCGAAACTCCCAGAATTTCATAGTAATTTCTGCATTTCTTGATCCTAAAAACACACATCAGAAACATATATGTCTACAAAGGCCCCTTTTGTACAATTAACTGCAAAATAGTATATCAATCCTCCCTCCAATCTGTAAGCCCCAAAACAAACCTAAAACTGGTGAACACATTAATGAAACATTCATTAACAATATCTCCTCCCACTGAGAGCTTAATGCCTTTCAAAGTATTTTTATACCTAATATTTTATTATTTCTATATTCCTGCAAGCGGGCAGAACAAGTATACTAATCCTTACATCAAGGTGCAGGCTAAGGTCCTGAGAGTTGAACCACAGGACAGCAAAGCCAGAAGAAACACCTAACCACCCTATTTTTTTTTCTCTCTCTTTTTCCTTTTGGCTATCATTTTACACTTTGTTTTAAAAAGTTAATATATACACATGGTAGAAGAAAAATATCCAATCGTACTAAACTACAGTGAAAAATCTTCCTGCTTCCCCATTCCCTGTCCCCCAGTCTCCCACCCTAAGGACAACCACTGTTAGAAGTTTTCTGTGAATCCTACGTCCAAAGAGAGTACATGTCCAAAGAAGAGTATAGAGACACCCCCCATTTTTTTCTTACCTAAATGGAAGCATATTATAATCACCTTTCTACATCTTCTTTTTCTTTTTTTAACTAACAATTTATCTTGGAGATTGATACATAACTTATAGAGACGAGCAGTATAGGATTATAGTTTAAAGTGGCAGTCCTGAACTTTTTGATCTAAGAAGTCTTAAAAATTATTGAAGACCCCAAAAGAGATTTTATGTGAGTTATATCTATCAATATTTACCATACTAGAAATGAAAACAAAAAATTTTAAAACACAGAAGGATGATATAATTACATGTCATATAGCCTCTCAAAAGTTCCACTGTGTAATTATGAAGGAATGAGAGTGAAAAAGGCAAATAATGTGTTTGTATTATTATGAAAATAGTTTTATACTTGCAGTCCCTCCCCACTCCCCCACCTTGAAAGGGTCTTGGGGTTCCCAAACCACATTCTGAGAACTGCTGGACTAGCGCATGAACTCGGGAGTCAAAACGCCTTGGCTGGGATCTGATCTTGCTGTATACTTAACCTCTGTGCCTCTTCTGAAATGGGCTAATACTTATATCTATATTTCACAGATCTGTTATGGTTAAATGAAGTATTCATTAAAATGCTTGATAGCATCTGACATGACATAAATATTGGCTATTATAATATATCTACCACACTCTTTTAAAAAGCTGCATATTACTGGGGCCGGCCAGGTGGTGCAGCAGTTAAGTGCACGTGCTCCGCTGTGGCGGCCTGGGGTTCACAGGTTCAGATCCCCGGCGCGCACAGATGTACCGCTTGTCAAGCCATGCCATGGCGGTGTGCCATATAAAGTAGAGGAAGATGGGCACAGATGTTAGCCCAGGGCCAGTCTTCCTCAGCAAAAAAGAGGAGGATTGGCACCGGACGTTAGCTCAGGGCTAATCTTCCTCACCCAAAAAAAAAAAAAAGCTGCATATTATTGCATTTTATGGACGTATATACATCCCCTACTGATGGGCGTTTAGAATGTCTCCAGATTTTTTGCTACTACACAATTCAGTTAGGCAGGGAGAGGCCCAGAGCCTTGTTGAAGAGTTCATAGTAAGTCAGTAACATAGGCTGGTTTATAATGCAGGGTATGGAATGTCAGTCAGGGCCCTTCCCCAAGAGCTGCCCACGGGGATCCTTTGCATCCCCAGCCCAGTTTCCAGTCCCTGCTTCCATGGCAGACACTCCCCTGCCTCTCTCTCTTTCATGAATTTATTATTTGTTTAATAACAGCTTTATTGTGATGTAATTCACATATTACAAAGTTCACTCTTTTAAAATGTATAATAGTGGATTTTTTAGTATATTCACAGAGTTGTGCACCCATCACCACTAATTACAGAACATTTTCATCACCCCTAAAAGAAACCCCATTCTTGTTAGCAGTAACTCCTCATTCCCTTCCTCCCCAAACCCTGGCAACCACTAATCTTTCTGTCTCTATAAATTTGCCTATTCTGGACATTTCATATAAAAGGAATTATATAATATGTGGCCTTTTGTGTCTGGTCTCTTTCGCTAGCATAATGTTTTTAAGGTTCATTCATGTTGTAGCATGAATCAGTACTTCATTCCTTTTTATTACCAACAAGTATTCATTGTGCAGATATTCCATTTTGTTTATCCATTCATCAGTTAATGGATATCCAGGTTGTTTCCATTTTGGGGCTATTATAAATAATGCTGTATGAACATTTATGTACAAGTTTTTGTGTGGAAGTATTTTTTTCTTTCTCTTGGTATATACCTAGGAGTGGATTGCTAGGACAAATGCTATGTTTAACCTTTTGAGGAACTGACATACTGTTTTCCAAACTGGCTGCACCATTTTAGATCCTACCAGCAATATATAAGGGTTCCAATTTCTCCATGTCCTCATCAACACTTATTATTGTTCATCTTTTTGATTATAGCCATCCTAGTGGGTATGAGGTGGTATGGTAGCTCATTGTGCTTTTGATTTGCATTTCCCTAATGACTAATGTTGTTGAACAACTTTTCATGTGCATATTGTCATTTGTATATCTTCTTTGAAGGAATGCCTGTTCAGATCCTGTGTCCATTTTTCAATTGGGTTATTTGTCTTTTTATTGTTGAGTTGTAAGAATATATATGTTCTAGATACAAGTCCCTTATCAGATATATAATTTGAAAATATTTTCTCCTGCTCTGTGGGTTGATTTTTCACTTTCTTGATGGTATCTTTTAAAACACAAAAGTTTTTATTTATTTATTTTTGAGGAAGATAGGCCCTGAGCTAACATCTGCCAATCCTCCTCTTTTTGCTGAGGAAGACTGGCCCTGGGCTAACATCTGTGCCCATCTTCCTCCACTTTATATGGGACACCGCCACAGCATGGCTTGACAAGCGGTGCGTTGGTGTGCGCCCGGGATCCGAACCGGCGAACCCGGGGCTGCTGCAGCAGAGCGCATGCACTTAACCACTTGCGCCACCGGGCCAGCCCACAAAAGTTTTTAATTTCAATGAAATCCAATTTACCTATTTTTTCTTTTGATGCTTGTGCTTTAGGTGTCATATCAAGAAATCATTGCCTAATCCAATGTCATGAAGATTTACATTTATGTTTTCTTCTACGAGTTTTATAGCTTTAGCTCTTACATTTAGGTCTTACATTAGGTCTTTGAGTTAATTTTTGTATTTGTGTGAGGACAGGGTCCAAGTTTATTCTTTTGCATGTGGATATCCAGTTGTCCCAACAACATTTGTTGAAGATTATTATTTCCCTCATTAGATTGTCTTGTCACTCTTGTCAAAAATCAATTAACCATAAATATAAGGGTTTATTTCTGGACTCTCAATTCTATTCCATTGATCTACATGTCTATCCTATTCTAGTCCACACTGTCTTCATTACTGTAGCTTTGTAATATGTTTTGAAATTGGAAAGTGTGAGTCTTCCAACTTTTTTGTTCTTTTTCAAGACTATTTTGGCTATTCTGAGTCCCTTGTACTTCCATATGGATTTTACAATCAGCTTGTCAATTTCTGCAAAAAAGGCAGCTGGGAATTTGATAGGGATTGTGTTGAATCTGTGAATCAATTTGAGGAGTATTACCGTATTACCAATATTAAGCCTTCCAAACCATGAACACAGGCTATCTTCCCCTTTATTTAGGTCTTCTTTAATTTCTTTTAATGAAGTTTTATAGTTTTCAATGTACAATCTTACACTTCTCTTGTTAAATTTATTCCTAAGCATTTTATTCTTTTTGATGCTATTATAAATGAAATTGTTTTTTCATTTTCAGATTTTTCATTGCTAGTGTATAGAAAAACAATGATTTTTGTATATTGATTTTGTATTTTACAACTTTGTTGAACTCTAATAGTTTGTGTGGGTTTGTATGTGTGTATTCCTAGGATTTTCTATGCTAGATATCATCTGAATACAGTTTTACTTCTTCTTTCCAATCTGGATGGCTTCTATTCTTTTTCTTGCCTAATTGCCCTAGCTTGAACCTCTTGTACAACGTTGAATAGAAGTGGCTAGAGTGAACACACTTGTTTTGTTCCTGTCCTGTTCCTGCTCTAACCATTAAGTATGATGTCAACTGTGGATTTTTTTGTAGATGACCTTTATCAGGTTGAGGAAGTTCCCCTCTATACTAGTGTGCTAAGTATTGTTATCATGAAAGCGTGTTGGATTTTGTCAAATGCTTTTTTTGCACCTACTGAAATGATCATGTGGCTTTTGTCTTTTAATCTATTAATATGGTGTATTATATTGATTGATTTTCGTGTGTTAAACAACCTTGCATTCCTAGCACAAATCTTACTTGGTCAAGGTATATAATCCTTTTTATCAGTTTTATATGTTTTTATATGTTGCTGGAATCCATATCCATAAGGGATATTGGTTGATAGGTTAGTTTTCTTATGATGCCTTTGTCTGGTTTTGGTTACAGGGTATCTTTCTAGGAATTTGTCCATTTCATCTATGCATTTGTTGGCATACAATTGTTCATAGTATTCTCTTATAATACTTATTATTTCCATAAGATTGGTAGTTTTGTTCCCTCTGTCATTCCTGGTTTTAGTTATTTGAGTCTTCTCCCTTTTTTTCTTGGTTAGTCTATCTAAAGGTTTGTCAATTTTGTTGATATTTTCAAAAACCCAAATTTTGGTTTTGTTGATTTTCTCTATTGTTTTTCTATCCTCTATTTCATTTATTTCCACTCTATATTATTTCCTTGATTCTGCTTGTTTGGATTTAGTTTGCTTTTCTTTTTCTAGAAGATTAGGTTATTGATTTGAGATTACTTTTTTTAATATAAACATTTATAGCTATAAATTTCCTTCTATATATTGCTTTAGTTACATCTCATATGTTTTGGTATGTTGTGTTTTCATTTTTAATCATCTCAAAATAGTTTCTAATTTTCCTTGTGATTTCTTCTGTGACTTGTTATTTAGAAATATGTTGTCTAATTTTCACATATTTGTGAATTTCCCAAATTTTCTTCTGTTTTGATTTCAAAGAACATACACTGTATGTATGTATGATTTTAATCCTTTTAAATTTATTGAGGTTTGTTTTATGGCCTAACATATAGTCTTGTTCTGTAGAATGTTCCATGTATACTTGAGAAGAATGTGTATTCTGCTGTTGTTGGCTAGAAAGTTGTAAAGATGTCTGTTCTGTCTAGTTGTTTTTCTCTGCCTCTCTTACAGTAGAAGCAGGGCAGTTACCTCAGATTACCCCATATACTCCACTTCCACCTAGTCTTGCCTCTGAGGCCAAGAAGCTATTGTGCTTCAATAATAATAATAAAAAAAATAGCAGTCAACGCTTACATAGCACATTGTTTATGCCAGGCACTCTACATAAAATCGCTCATTTACTCCCACCACAGGCTCACCTTTGTACTCCAAGCAGCTGCTCTTCAGTATAAGTGGTGCTCCCCTCACCCTGCCGGGTCTGATTCCACTCATTCTCAGACTTCTTTTCCTTTTGTGCCTTCATGCAGTCACAGCAACCACAGGGATCATGACTTTCAGGAGGTCTGTCTTCTGGGTATTTGTTTCTTCTAACTGCATCAATGTAAGCTGCAAAGCAATAGCCCCTCCATTAGGCCTCGGTCTGACCTGCAAATCAACTTTGCTACTTGCCTTAGCTATCTGGGAGGCTGCTTGTAGGCATGAGCAGGTGAGTGTGCGGGCCAGACTAATGATGTCATGCTGACTTTTAAGCATCCATACAAAGCTGAACAACATCTTCCTTGAGAAAACAATACAGAAAATACAGAGGCAACCATGAAAAACTTATAATGCCAGAAACATGAAGCATAATAATGTCCACCATACCTACAGTGGTCAGTGAGCAAATAATCTTCACCCAGAGCCAGTAAAGGGGCTCAAGAGGTGTCTGCCCAATACCTTGCCTTTAGTGCAGCACAGGGGGAAGCCTATTTCTCTGTGGTCCATGGTCAGAAGTGACATTGCTCATGAAGTAATATTTCTGTTGCAATGCCTCCTACCACTAAGATTTAAAGTAGAGATCAGTTGTATTCTTTTAAAATAACAGTTATGGAACTAATATATACAAGACACTTGGCTAGACAGATCAAGGAGATGTATGGCTAAGACCCACTCCTGACTATAAAGAGGTTATAGTTTAAAGAGAGAGGATTCAATTAATCATAATGCCTACAGAATGTAAAGAGGGCCATAGCAATCCAGTCAAAGAAGGCAGAGTACTCATGTCCTGTCTGGAGGATCTGGCAAAGACTTTAAAAACATCTTTCTCCTGCTTAATATCTCTTAGTGACTATCCACTGCTCCTTGTCCAGATTTCTTATCATGGGCCCAACTTGCCTCTCCAGCCTCATCTCTCACCACATGCTCCTTTGTAGTCAATGCTCTAGCCACAGCAAACTCCTTTTAGATCAGCAATGCTTTCTCTTTTCTCTGTGCCTTTGCACATGCTGTTCCCTCTGCCTGTGACACTCTTCCTCTCAGTTGGCCTGGCTAACTCCAACACATCCTTCATGTCATCATATGTAACACTTTCTCCACAAGGCCTAGACTACCAAGACTACCAGGAAGCTTCCATTTTAGTGGAATGATTCAAGGAGTTCCCAGTTGCTTCTGGGGCAGTGAGAGGAATGAGACTGGGAATATTTATGGTGGTTACTTGTCATTTTTCTTATTTGTCATTTTTTTGACTGCCCAACATCTATAACCTCTTCCTACATTTGGAAAGTTCTGCCCTCCTCTGACACCCAGGCTGTGTTGGATGCCTTGCAAGTGTGCTCCCCAAACATATGACCTTGCTGTGTAGCCTAGGACTATTGGCCCTGTTTTGTAATTGGCTGTTTACCTGTCAGACTCCCTCAGTGGACTGAGTTCTGTGAGCTCAGGGGCCCATGTCTGTCAAATCCCCGCTGCAGGATCAGCATATTGCAGGGTAAGCAATAGGTATTGGGTCAATACTCTTTGCCTGACTGTAGGATGGAAAAGGCCGGCCTATAGGTCCTGATGCAGGCTGCAGGGACAAGACCAAACCGAGACCGAGGGTCAGGCGGCCCATTGTGGCGGCGAGGATAAAGGCCAGATAAGCAAGCTGCGGAAGACCGCATCACCTCTCTGACCCTCGGCCCACCGGGGCGCGGGTGGAGCCTGACCGCCGCAGGCCTTGGGCGGGGCACGGGCCGGGCCGGGGCTGGAGGCAACAAGTCGTCACGGGTGACTCTGGGCTCCCAGCCGGTTCCTCAGCTTGAGCCAGCGCTCCTGGTTTCCGGATCCCGGCTCCTGCCCTGGGCGGTCCCCCACCTCATCCGGAACCCTACTCAGGCTCAGCATCTTCTCATAGGCTTCCATCCTTCACCTCAGGCCCGGGATCTCAGCCCTTAGGCGCCTTCAGAAGCCGCACCCCGATCTTTCCCCGATCCCGCCCTGTCCCACCCTCCGGCCAGGACCTGGTACCTTCTGTCCAGCGCTCCCCGCTGCCCAGAGTCGCTGCCATATCGGTTCCCAGTCCGCTGGTCTGTGGAGCCTCCCCCGCGCGGGAGGCTGAAAAGGAAGGGGGCAAGAAGCGCAGGGCATGCTGGTCACTATAGTCCAACCCATAGGAGCTGCAAGATATTGGACTACAACTCCCGGCAGGCTTCGCGCGAGGGGCCGTCGGAGATGCAGCGGTGTAAAGGAGCTCGACCCTTGTAAGAGAGGCCTCTGGAAGTATGTTGCTGCTAGTTGACTGTTGCGCGGCTAGTGGCTCACAGTAGGAAACTGGCAACCTCGGGCCGGGCTTTTCCTCATTTGTAGAGTGAGGATAGTGACTTCGGCCCCGCTTAACACTGGGGACATTCTGGTAGGCGCGATGAGATCCTGCCTGGAAAAGGCTTTGCAAAAACTTTCCATAGGCTAGAGGGTGACAGTGTGACTGTTTTTCTCCTCAGGGATGTCTTTGTTGAATATACGCCAATGCGTGTTCTGTGCAAAGTGTATGCTAGGTCTTGGAGATTCAGAGACGGGTTTGGGGGCTTAAGTTCCGAACTTAAGAGCCAAGACAATAGAAAAGTGAAGTGGATTTATGTGGTTAGAGGGCAGTCTGGGTATGCCCCTCCTCCCCCCAGCTCCTCTGGCACAGTGTCATTAGAGGGATTGCTAGGGGTCCGGTCGGGGGTAGAGAAGGAAGAAAAGGGCAGGTAATGGAGCTGGCTTTAGAGCTCCTATCTTTGCTGTTATTTATGCTTCATCCATTCCATCCCACTCCGGGGCCCTCTGAGACTTCTCTATCCCACCCTAGTCGTTTCCTTAGCCCCTTCCCTTTTTTTCTGAGAGATCGGGCCCTAGGAGATTAGTAAAAAGGAAATGAAGAAATATTCCTGCTTTTCCCCACTCAGGTATGCATGGAGCTTAGCAAAGAATAAAAGCAATTCTTCATAGATGGATGGGTAGACAGTGTCCTTACTGACTCATGCCTGCAGGTGAGTTGGAATGGCCAAAGGTCAGGTCTGCAAAAGTGAAAAATGATCATGTTCATCCCTAAATGAAAAATTATCTGGAATTCATTGACCCAGGAAGTCCAAATCAATTATGTCCATTATGATATCAACCAGCAGCTACTTAGGCAGTTGGGGTGGGGTGGGGAGATGTAAAGCCCTGGACGCAAACTGAAAGGGTAAAAGCCTCCAGTGGTATGCAGTTCCATCCCTTCCCAGCAGTCATGGCCCTAGGATATATGAGCATCACTGTGCTCACAGAAGGCTGGGTCCTGAAGAAGCCATTTGTGCTTTGCAGAAGAGAAACCTGATCAGGGACATCCAACAGGTGGTTGAATATGAGAAGGAAGTTTATTTGTTTTGGGGGGCTAGACAGACTGCTCCAGAAGATGGACAGGGGAAGGTGGGGTATGCCTTGGAGATCAGGGGCACAGGACTAAGGTCTGGAGGTTCTCAGAGATGTCAGAGTACCATGAAGTTATAGGTATCTGGTTGAGAGTGGAGGTACTAGAACACTGTAGGGGGTAATTGTATTGAGAAGGGGTACTATGAATTATGGAGCTACTTAGGAGTAGAGTCCAGGTTCAGGCAAGGGGCTGGCCTGGTGGCATTGTGGTTAAGTTCGATGTGCTCCACTTCAGCAGCCCAGGGTTCACCGGTTCGGATCCTGGGTGCAGACCTACACCACTCATCAAGCCATGCTGTGGTGGCGAGCCACATACAAAATAGGGGAAGACTGCCACAGATGTTAGCTCAGGGCCAGTCTTACCAAAAAAAAGAATGCTGGGCAAGATTTGGGAAGCTGGGACCTCTTGGAAATGTCTGGTACCTCAACATCCTTTCCTATCATCCTCTGAAACCTCACTTTCCCCTTCTTTCCTAGACGACTGATTTACTCCTTGATCAGTAAAAAATGGTTCTGCATTGCAGCCTTTTCAGGTATTGCCGCTCAAATGTACCCCTCAGCTCATTTACACCTCAATTAACACCTATGGATGAATTTTTCTATGACTGTATCACCTGGACTAACTTAGAACTCCAAACCTCAACATTTAGAACACTTCTGTGCCAGTTTTTGCTTAAGCACACCAACCACTCAACAAAATAACTCCCACTGTCAAATTCAATCTCTGTGTTTGATAAAAGAGGAAGCTATGGGCTCAAAGGGTTCAGGATGGAGGTGCCAGGGGAAAGTAACTAGTACGAAGAGTGCGAGAGCAGCTGGGAAGGAAATAAGGGAAGAGAAATTGAGATCTCCAAGGCACTTCTCAAAGAGAAAGAGGGAGGTGTAGAAAGAAGTTCAAAGAGGTGAGAAAGGACATCCACAAATCTGGGGGAGGTGGGGGGGTGCTGCTGAGCAGAGCCACACAATGTTTTCCAGCAGATTCAAATAGAATTGAGTAGTAGTAGGCTGGCTTTGGGAAATTGTATGCAAGAACTAGGCCAAGGGGCCTGCAGTGATTCTTCATCTGCTAAACCATTTTACCTAGAGCCAGCCTCAGGTTCCTATCAGTTTTCTCTACTTACTTTTAGAAATACTTGAACCGTAGTGAATTTTTGCTGGTGATACTGAGGTTTGCCGAGTGCCCTATATGGTTGAGATGCTGCCCCATCCAGCCCTGGAAGAAAGATACTGAGTAAATGATCCCTCTGTTCTGCTGGGCCTGTGCTCCTGAGCTGGTTTGTTGGTCGCCTTCCCAGAGGATGGGGGAAGAAGTGAGAGGACACTACAGCAACGCCCTCCCCCCCCCGCCCCCAACCTGTTCCTGCTTTGGGGCCATGCAGTCCTGTGTTAGAATAGGGAGGAAGCTAGGAAGCTGCCTTGTAAATGGCCACCATCCTGTTGTCTAGACATGGAGGAAGAGATATGGTCTCAGGGAAGCTGCAGGGGCTGCACTCAGATTTCCTGTCAGAGACGGGGTCTTGTATTTGCATGAATAGGATCCTCTACAGAACCTCCTCTAATATAGTTTGCTAGAGAGCAGAATTCAGCATTAAGTGAATTCATCTGCGACCCCTTCCCAAAGGATAGTTACTTAGCAACAGGAAAATCAACGTGGCTAATGTGGTACTGCAGTGTCAGTTTCAGGGTAAAAGGCTTCCAATCTCATACCAGTTCACCCTCTCTCCCCCACAAATAAATACCTTATGACTAGCAGCTCATATTTGCAGGACATTTTCCAGAGTCAGGAGGAAGTTTGTGGCCTTATAATGGAGATGTCAACTGAGTTACCTAGAGTGAAACCCATGTCCTTGACCTAAGTAGTCCAGTATGATAAGCAGCTGAACTAAGTGCCCATGGCAGTCAGAATAACAATAACAATTCAAACAGAATCTAGTCCTACATTGTTATGTCACCAGGAGAGTTCTATCCCAATGATGGAATTTTATACTGGAAGTGGCTAGGAAGTCATGTGCTTTTTGCAGTGTGGCCTAAATAAAATATATCTGAATTACTTTTTAAATGCTGTAGTATTTCTGTCAAGGGTTGGGTGCTCCAAGAAATAGACTCAGAGACTCTGACATGTGCATGCTGAAGGTTTATTGGTGAGTGCTCCTGGGAACAACAGCTGTGAGGAGTAAGGGAAATAGAATTAAGCAGAGGGAGAAATTGAGGCAGGATGTCCAGGTCTTCATCCCCACCCCCACCCCCATCAACCAGTCATCAACTAGCTTTGAGCCCTCAGCAGCCAACACTCCCAGCAGCTAGAGGAACAAATGTCTTGATCCTGAAGTGGGACCTGGGTGGTGGTGCTCCATGTTGTCTGCTACTGTTGCCAACTAGTAATTTTACTTCCCAAGTATCTCCACACTTACTATTCCTTTTACCTACCAAGTAGGCTGTGAGGTTGACAGGGCCAGGTAGGGATCATCCTTCCCTTAATACACATTAATACACAGGGAAATCTAAGTCCAGAGAATGTCAAAAACTTGCCCAGAGTCACCTAGACTAATCACAGGACTTGTCTCTGGCTCCCACCCAGAGTGATCTCTACTGAAAAGATTGTGTTAAGCCAGCCCTCATTCCCTAGTGGTTAAAGTTTGGCGTGTTCTGCTTCAGCGGCCTGGGTTCAGTTCCTGGTCCTGGAACCACACCACTCATCTGTCAGTAGCCATGCTGTGGTGGCGGTTCACATACAAGAACTAGAAGGACCTACAACTAGAATATACAACTATGTAATGGGGCTTTGGGGAGGAAAAAAAAAAAAGAGGAAGATTGGCAATAGATGTTAGCTCAGGGTGAATCTTTCCCAACAACAACAACAACAAAAAACAAGATTGTGTTCATTTTTTCCTACATCTAGAGTTTATAGAACTGTAGAATATAAGAGCCAGCAAAGATAGTGAAGGCCAAGTAGTCCAGCCCCTTCTCTTTATTTTTTTAAATTTATTTATTTATTTATTTATTTTTCCCCCAAAGCCCCAGTAGATAGTTGTATGTCATAACTGCACATCCTTCTAGTTGCTGTATGCGGGACACGGCCTCAGCATGGTTGGAGAAGCGGTGCGTTGGTGCGCGCCCGGGATCCGATCGGTGCGCGCCTGGGATCCGAACCCAGGCGCCAGTAGTGGAGCGCGCGCACTTAACCGCTAAGCCACGGGGCCGGCCCAGCCCCTTCACTTTAAAAGTAAGAAAATAGGCTCAGAGATGGGGGTGATTTCACCAAAGTCAAGCTGCAAGTCTGTGGCAGAGCCCAGCCTTGTGACTAGATTTCTTGCACTGGAGAGCCAGTTGTTATGAACTCTGATATGCTGGGCACAGTGTACCACACAGGAGCTACAGACATGAGCAGGTTACAGGCCCTGCCCTAGAGGATTTTAGAAAATCTGTGGGTTTCTTCAGTCCACTTGAATAGTTTCAATGAGACAGAGTGAAACTTTTTGTTCTAGGCTTTCCCTCTCAGATCACCTTGTAGAGTCTAAATCTAGAAGAAAAGAGCATATTGTTGCTTCAGAATGGATAATCTGCATTCTCCCTGTGTTCTAAACTGCCGACTAGCAGATGCTGATAAAGTTAAACACTCCATGCAGACGTACACAGATGACTCTTCCATTGACTCTCCCCAGCCAAGATTCATATCCAAACCAGTGTCATGGTAGAGATTCCTAAGAAAACAGACAACTGGTTTCTTTTCCTCCTTCTCTTTAAATTACTTTACAGTATTTGTGATTCTTTATTCAATTTCTAGGACACAAAGATAATAGCTGTATGGGGTAAAGTGAGTGGGGTTTTGGTTTATGAAGTCACAGACCTATCCTTGCTCCAAACCTTCCCAGTGTTATTCCCACAGCTAGGACCAAAACGAGGCATGCTACCCTGGGGCAAGCAAATCACATTTGCCCTCATACTATTCAGCTCTCCCCACTGGAATTTCCTAGTCAGAGTGCGTTGTGCCTCCCATGTTCTCATGCTTCAGATTTAAAACTTCTTTACTGGTGGCGATTGGTCGCTGTTTACAGCTCCTTTTCTCTCCCTTCTATTGGAATGGTTAGTCAGTCACCTTATCCCTACTTAATAAACCAGGTGAACTGAGGCAGACCTGACAAAAGGTTCTCTCCACCTCTCAGGTTTCTCAGAGAGCTCCCCACAGGGGCAGAAACTTGCATACATGCATCGCCTAGGAAAGGAGGCCCCAAAGCTGCTGTTAAGAAATGCTCATAGGAGCATAGACTTTCAAAGAAATTAGACTGCAGGCCAGAACATAATTTTAATACAAAGTAGAAAGGACCAATCCACTTTGTCATTTTCCTTGCTGTTGTTCTGTAGACTCCTCCTTCCTGTCTCTTTGAGAAGGTGGGAGGAGCAAGCTGTGTTTCTAGAATGGCTGTGCATTTGGGAAAGAGTCTCTCATGTTGGTAGCTTGCTCCCAGATCTGGAGGAATGTGTGTCCTTTAGATCTGGGAGTAGGTGTGAAACAAAATAATTTATATGTGGTTCATTGCCTCTATCAATCCCATCACCTTCCTCCTTACAGTCACAGGGCAGCTGCATCATCCTCGGACCCATGGGGATCCCAAAGTTGCTTTTAAAGAACCTGCAAAATAAATACATAATAAGGAACGGTGAACTTCTTGGGAGTGGTGGGGTGAGGAAGAGGAGAGAGGAGCCCAAGTCTTTGAAAGTATCTTCTTTCTGGTTAAGGAACCAGAGCCTGAAGGGAGGAGGAGGTGGGAGAAGGGAGGAAGGAATAAGGAAAAATGCACCTTCTCTGCTGAGGTGCGTCCTTTGCTGTTATTCATGTTGATATTCTTCATGGAGATGAGAGTGATGCTGTCTTTCTCACCATTGGCTGTGGAGCAGCTAGGGATAGGACGGGAACATGGGTTATAGAGAGGAGGAGCAGGAGGGCAATGTGGGGGTCAAGGAACTGTGATGGGGGAGTTGAAACTTAGACCCTTTTTTTGATAAACCTGTAGTTTGCTGGTGGACCGTAATGAAATGAGTGTGCTTTGAAGCCCAAAAGACTTGTATTTAACTTAGTTTTACCACCTACTACTTGTGTGATGTTGATCAAGTTACAACCTCCTTTAAGTCTCAAGTTTTTAAACGTATAAAATGCAGTAATATCTGCCTTGAAGAATTGCTGTAAGGATTTGAGATAATATTACAAAATATTTACCATAGTGCTTGGCACATGCAAGGTATTCAATAAGTGGTTCCTTAGATAAGTGTCCTCTTATTTAAGGGGTATGTTAGAATCTGAATTCCTATACTTTTCATGAAGGGCTTATAGAGGTTTAACCATGGGGCTGTAGATTTCCAGTCCATCTTCTGTCACCTGATTGTTTCCTTTCAGGTCCGCCTCTGTCCTGCCCACTCACTCAATGGAGGCTGTCAGGATTCCGTGTGTGTGTGTGTGTGTGTGTGTGTGTGTGTGTGTGTGGAGAAGGCAGAAAGTGTTGGTTCCCTCTTGGAGTAGGGGAGTGGGAGGTCAGATAGATGATCCTTCCCTTACACCTCTGACTGTCTTACCTTTCAGTTAGCCCTGAAGTCCCAGGTTTCTGGGGATCTGTAAAAATCCAAAGGCATAGATTGGGGGTCACATGCTGTAAATTCAGAAGCCCACTCTGTCCCTCAAAGCCCACCCAAGTGGGCTTTCATTTCATCTAATCGTGCTTATGTTCCATTCCTTCCCTCAGCTCCAGGCTGAGTGTCAGTCCCAGAATCTAGCTCTGGGTTCACCAGCAAAGAGGGGCAAAGGGAGCCCTGAGAGTCAGGGCATGTACCTTCAGACTCCTTGTTCTTCCGACACTTAAACCTTAGACTGACTACACCGACTAGGACGATCACCACAACCACCAGGATGACAATGAAGCTGATAACACCTGAACAGGGAAAAGGATGGAGTGAAGGGGAGGAAGATGAGGGGACAAAGGGGGCAACAGGAGTCCAAATTCCCTTCTCAGCTAAGTGCTGTGTAGACAGGCTCTGGGAGCAAAGTGAATTCCCTTTCTCTGCTGAATGAATGAGCTCTCAGCCTGCTGCCCCTGGCCAGAGCGGGCTCCATAGCCCCGCCCCATTCTCCCATAAGAACATGGAACCCGGCAGAGCCCAGAAGAGCTGACTGGGGGGCTGGCGGAGGCTCCTTCCCACCAGGGCCTTCTTCATCAGCCAAACTCTCCTAGAACAAATGGATGAGATTTGCACTTGTGTTTCCAGATCCAGAGTCCAAGTCAGTTCAAGGGTGGGTCCCCTGCCACACCCCACCTTCTCCCTCTCACCAAATGCAGCCACAGTAAGCACGGTCTCTGACGTGGGGCTGGGCAGGATGGTTGAGTCTTGTGTTGTCCTCAGGCTCATAGTAGCTGATTTGGGAGTAACATTTTGAGAGATGTCTAAAATGGAGTGGGGATGGGTGTGTCAGTGAAGGGACTGACAGCCTACCAGAGAGAGATTGCTCCCCTCCTGCTTCCCCCAGGCAAAAGACTGAAGAGAGAGCTCACGCCCTACAAAAAAAGACTTCCTCCCTGCCACTCTGAACAGATTCCATGAGGATGAAGGCCAGAATTGGGTGATGTGGGATCACGTGAATAATATTGCTGGTTGCTCATGTTACTAGTTCCAGAAGACTCCAGAAAGTTTGGGATGCTTCCTTCATTATGCTCTTCTCATCACCCCTTTGAGGCCCAGAGGAAAGGGATTATGTTGCAGAGATAGGGGGCCAGACTGGCCAAGACAGAGCCATCCTTGTTTTGCCAAGGTTGAAGTGGGAGGAAAGAAGGGCACCAGATGTCTGTCCCCAAGCACTGATCTAATAAGCCAGGCTACCAGTTGAGGGGCACAAGTTTCTGGCCCTCTTAAAAGTGGTATGGTCACCTGTCTCTTCCCCTCTTTAACTCATTGTACTGCAGGCCTGATTGCTGTTCCATTTCCTTATCCTCACCTACCTCCCAAATAAGTCTGGGACTTAAAAAAATCTCAGAGCCAAGGGGTAGTATGAGAGAAAGGGTCAGGGTGCTCTTCACTGTGAGCAGATGGGACATACCTCCACTTGTGCTGCCACTGCTGCTGCCACTGCTTGGGACACTTGTATCTGTGCCATGAAATAGCAGGGCCAAGATGGAGGGTATCCACCCCGCCCAGCTCTTTCCCACACTGCTGGGGGAAGGCCAGCTTGCTCTGAGAAGCCTGTAGCCCTTTCCATCATTTGGGGTTCTCTACCCCTGCCCCACCATCTAGGCCTGTATCAGTCCTGAGTCCAGGCGCCTTTCACCTTCATTGTGACCAGGCCCAAGTTCTTGTCTCTACTCCCCACGAAATCTCTCTCATTCTCTGCCAAACCAGGGGGCTGCTGATGTGGATCCTGGCCTTGAGACCTCTCCTTGTGGAGCAGGACATGGGCCTCCTGAAGAGGGGAAGAAGGAACCCAGCCAGACTTGCCCCAGTGTTTGCACCCCCAGCCCCAGGTACTCACCAAGTCCTGATGTGAGCTTCTGTGTCTGTGATGGGGTCAGGCCCATCAAGGACGGGGAGTGACCGTCCACGGAGCTTGACCTTGGCGTCACGGGTTTACCGGCTACGATGGAGGCTTGTGAGGCCTCTTTTGAATCTGCTGTGGATTAGGAAGCATGCGTGGGCCTGCTTAGGGCCTCAGCCAGCATGTACATGGGGAGGGCTCTTTCATCCAAAATCCTCCTTTTCTTTACTGCTTTCAATTCCAGAAAGAGTCATCCTCTCTTTCACCTCTAAGCCTTTACCTGTGCAGTTCCCTCTGCCTGGAATCTGTCCTACCACCCTCTGCCCCACAGTCTTCATCTAGTTAACTCCTTCTTAGGCCTCAGCTTCAGAGGTCACTCCCTCTCGGATGTATTCCCTGGCCCCCAAGTCTGAAGTGGCTGACAGTTGTCTGGGCTCCCAGAGCACCTTCTGCTTATGCCCATCACAGCCCTTCTCACTCAGCTTTGTAATTGTCCTGTTCACTTATCTGTTCCCCCACCAGTCTGTATTCTCCTTTAGAGCAGGAACTGTGTCTGCTTCCTCATTGGGCCCTCCCTGGATGGCATTTGTAGTCTGAGCGGCAGAGTACCTGGGGTACTTGTGCTGGAGGGAAGGCTTGGGCTGTTAGTCTCTGAGGAAGGCCTATCTCCTGCAAGGACAGAGGCAGAGGGGAAGTTGGAGGTGAGGCAGGTTTGGTAACACCACACTCTCTTGCCCATCTGAGAACTCTTGGGCTCCGAGCAGGTCTGAAGGGCTGGGCAGGAGTTAGGGATTGGTCCCTCAGCAACCATACTCACTTAGAGAGGTTGGCTTTATGGTCAGACTTAGACTGCTGAAGTACCCTGAAACAGATCATCTGAAGCTGAAGGTCCACTGCCTCCTATTGCTCTGTCTCCCTCTCTTTTTCCCTATAGCTAGTGTTTTCTAGTCTTTCTTCCTACCCCCACCCCCATCTCCACCCATCTCTCTCTCTCCTCTTTCAAAGCATGTTAGACTGGGCCAAGCTGAAAAAGGTCCCTAGAGGAGCTCAGCCTTGGATGTCCTGAGAGCTCTGGCTCCAGCCCTAATCACCTGAGATCAGTGCAAAACAGACCTAGAGCTCCTCTCACCCTTCCTGAGCTCCCAGCCCTAATTGCTGGAGTTGGCCTTGTGTGTTTGGTCTTACCCTGAGGACTAGAGGGCTGCGTTGTGGAAGGCTGGGAGTTGTGGCCTGCAAGAGAAAGCAAGACACGTAGACTAGCTTGGTGAGTCTCCTGCCCAGCACAGAGCCCGTAGAAGAACCCAGTCCTTTTGGTTTTCCAAGCCTCCCATGCTGGAAGGCAGACACGCTTGGCAGAGGGCGAAAGGATGTGGCTCCAGCTCACGGTGCTGGCTTCCTCTGACACGGTGACTCAATAGCACCATCACCACCACCTCATGGTTCCGTGTCCCAGAGTCCTTTCCTGTCTCTTCAGTCCCACATAGGTTTCATACCAACCTGACACAAGGTCAGGGGAAGGTTATTTCAAACTAGTGAGATGCCTAAGGATAGAGGGCCAGTGACCTGCCACATCTAGACAAGGACCCAAGATTCCAGGTCTCTAGGCTAATGTTCTTGCTATAGTACCATGGAGCCATCCATTTTCCCCTGTGAATATTGCCATCCTGGTCCTGCCCCAAGGGAAGAGGATGAGAAGATGTAGTGAATAAGATGGGGTTAGGGGTTGGAGTTGGTATCCAGGCTATCTGCCCTCCTCCTGCTGGAGATAGAGGCCTGCACAGGACATAAGTTCTGAGGTATATACGCAGGCAGGGAAGCGGTAGAAGGAGTGACCAATTTACTCTCACAGCCAGAGGCTACTTCCAAATTGGTCGTTGTTTGCCAAACGCAGACAGGAGTCAGTTACCAGGAGGCCCCAGTCGGAAGCCCTCATTAGTTTTGCATGTACATGTGTATGCCGGCAGGCCATGCAAATGTGTGTGTGTGCTTGTCTGCCCATACATGTGTCCCCTGTGTGTGTGAGACCTGAAAGGTCGGGTTGTGTTTGCTCATTTCATTTTCCATAATGAAATCATTCTTGAAACCCATGAACAATGTGAAAGGAAAACAACGTTGGAAAGTGGAGCCGCCCAGCTGGGTTCCCTTCCCTCCACCGGGGCTGGGACTGCAGCCCCTGGCCTGGCCCTCCTGCTCCCTCAGTCCCTCATCATCAGGGAAGCACCAAGCCCAGGCCTTGGTGAACAGAGGCAGCTAGAGGCCAGGGGCCCACCCAGCCTGTGGCAGCCTGCTGGTCTGTTTATTTTCCTTAGCCACTGCCTTCCTCCATGGGGCTATCACTTGGATAGTGTGGAATTAATGGTTTCCAAGCCCAAGCTTGCCCAAACTCTGGGCCGTGTTTTTCCAGGTCACCATCTCTGACAGCCCCCTTCCCTTGTTGAGTCAGGGTTAAGAGGGGAGTTAAAACCTGTAGGGGCCCCAGGCTAGAGAGAACTCTTCCCAGCTGGGGATGACCCCGGGAGAACCCTTTCAATCCGAGGCTCATCCTGAAAACATCTATCGGTTATTGATCCAGCATATCTAAGGTACTGTCTAAGCTCTATAAGGTTATAACTTTAGTTTTTAGTGGGAAGCACAGTGCACTGCCTTCCCACATTTATCGAGAAACAAAACTAATGTCTTGGAAGGAGTTCCCAAGTCAGAAGCTTTAAGTCCCAGTAGCTGCTCTCTCTTTGTCTCCCGCCTCTTCCCCATGGGAACTTTTTGTCACCAGTAGATTCCTTTGATGGTAGAGGAGGGACTTAGGGAGCATCTGTTTCTATAGGCCAGAATGCCTCTAACCACTGGGCACAGAGATACCTGAAGAACATTGGCCACAGGCATTTCTTATTTTCTTATTAGGTCTCCCCTCCCTAATCCCTACCTGCTTCCTTCCCCTCCAGCCTCTCTATCCTCCCCCTCCACCACCACTGTCACCTCTTTTCCTCAGCGGCATAGTTTAGTAGTTAAAATCATGGATTTTGGAGTCTGACAGGCTTGAGTTCAAGTCCTGACTTCTATCACTTACTATCTGACCTGGGTATCAGTTTTCTCTTCTTTAAAATGCAAGTGATTTTAGTACCGCATAAGTTGTGAGGATAAGAAAATGCATATAAAGCACTTAACACAGTGCCTGACAGATAGTCCATGCTCAATAAATGCTAGATGTCTTTATTTTTGCCCCATTTTCTTAAGTCCCCCAAGTCTCAAGTCTGCCCTGACTCTGTGTATCCACAGTCAAGTCCCTTTGTGGGCCTGAATGTCCTCAGTCCACTAAAATGAAGGAGACAGTGAGTGCTCTGAGCTCTCAGGAGGGGAGCCTGGGAAACTCAAGGGGTGAGCTCACACAGGGTAGGTGGAGTTAGGTAGAGTTCACACAGGGTATTCCTAGCCCTGGCATTTGCCTGGGACAGGACAGTAGGGAAGATGGGAGAAGCCCAGCCCTGTGAAAATGCCACCTCATAGTCTCACCTTTTAATCTCCCCCTCTGCCACCTCTGCAGTTTCTACAACAGCCTGTTCCCCCAGCCCCAGATCAAATGTATGACTCTATCCTCGGGGCGGGGCGGGGGGGCAGTGCAGGTGATGGGGGCGATCAGAGTTTCACCCCCAGCCCATGGGCTTTTAGAGAAATGTCTGACCTCTCCAAGAGGCAGAGTGTCTGGTACTCATGCCTTCTCACCCACACCATGAAAGGGCCATCCTCCCTCCCCATCAGAGCACTCTTGCACTCTCTGCTGCTGCTTTGAGCACAGGCTCATGGATCTTCCACAGAGGACTATGGAAGGTGAGGTGGGGGTGGGGAAGGGATGACCGAAGGGAAGTTGCTGCCCTGTGAGTCAGAATCTCCTGGATTTCTCATGGTTCCCAGCAACTGCTCCCTAATTAGAGGATTCCTTATGAGCTGCTTCACAACTCATCAGCTAGTACAGCCCTGTCTGAGAGGTGTTGTTTCAGAGTCATCTCCTCGAAGGTCATCTCATCTAGCCCCCTCGGTGAGGATGTTGTATACATCCTCTTTGGCAAATAGTTCTTTATATCTAACCTGAGTCCCTTTTGCTGTGATTTGAGCTTAAAGTCAATATTTGGAATTCCCAGGTTGTTACTCCTCATATGGAAAAGGAAAAAAGATCACCTGTAAAGCCCAAGGTACAGACAGTTTTGTGCTAGAATACCCTGGAAGGAACTTTTGGGCCTCAATCTCACACCAAGGCAGTCACTACCCACATTTCAGGAGGCCAGCCTCTATGGGGGCCCCAGTTCACCCTCGACATTTTCCCACAAAAGAGTTTAACCATATCTCAATTTTACCCCTGCCTGGTAATGACCACCTCACAATCCAACTGATCCCCTTCACGAAAAGACCTGGAATTTCCCTTGGGCACAGCCCTGGAAGGAGAGCATGTGTGGTGTGTGCCCTGAAGGAGGGACAGTGCGCCCAGGACTGCCAGCTGTGGGACAGGAACTTCTGAAGGAGAGTGGCAAGTGCTTCTTACCTTGGAGTAGGAGGAAGCCGAGGATCACCCAGCACCAACACTGCGTAGCTCCCACTGTCCCCATGTCAGCTGGGTCTGTGGCAGGCAGGCAGCTTCTGGCTCCGTAGAGGCTCTATCCATAGTGGAGAAGAGAAAGGGAGTGCTGGGGTGGGGTGGGGGTGGGGGCTGGCTCTCCAGGAGCTTCCTGTCAAAGAATAGAAGGAAACAGATTGGGACTGGCTCCAGGGGCCCTGCTTAGCCGGGCAGCCCAGATGAGGATGTAAGGCTGAAATAACAGGGACTCTGCCTGGGGCTCGGCATGGCCTGGGCTAGAGCCTCTGTGGTCTCCTCCAGGGCCTGTGTACAAAGACCAGTGATGGCAACCTGGCCCCATGCCCCTCTCTTCCTCTCTGAGGGCTCCATCAGGTCCCTCCACACACCACCTGGACATTTTCCTGGAGTCTAACTCCAATCTCTCCCCATACTGTTTCAGACCCGGTCCTCCTATCTCATGATTGAGTCCTAAAGCTCAGCCTACCAGCTGCCCATGCTCTGTAGACTCTGAATTCTCCACATTCCTCTCCCTCCTCAGGGCTCCCAATGCAGATGGGACTCCCAAAATCTTTCAGGGAGGCTTTAAAAACATTGTTTTTATTCTTATAGAAAAACAAGAGGACCACATTCCTGGCATTCCTTCCTCTGCCCTCCCCTCGCGTTGGGGTCCAGTTCCTGTGCTCCAGCAGCACCCTATTTTAGCATCCATCCAGCACGTATCCCCACGATACTCTCTCCTGCAGACACAGGCCAGCATTGTCACTTTTTTCAGTATCTCTAGGACCCGGCACAATGCCTGACATATAGCACATCCTCAGCATATATTTATTGAACTAAACTCAAAAAATTTAGGAGCAGAGAAATGTTACCCACAATCCTACCTCTTTAATATAGATATTATTATTGTTGTGGATTTCCTTCTGGTCTATGTCTTCCAGTCGGTAACTATATATATATGTATGCAATCATATGTATGATTGGTATCCTCTTCTCCCTTATTTTTTATTTTTTGATAAATATTTTATTTTGAAGCAATCACAAATGTATAGAAAAGTTGGAAGTACATTACATAGAACTTTTTTTCCAAGAGCCATTTGAGAGTAAATTGCCAACAGAATGCCCCATCACCCCCAAATACTGTAGTGTATATTTCGTACAAACAAGGACAGTCTCCTACATAATTAGTTTTCTGTGCTGCATAACCAGTTACCATAAACTGGTGGCTTAAAACAACAGAAATTTATTCTCTCACAGTTCTGGAGGTCAGAAGTCAAAATCAAGGTGTTGGCAGGGCCACACTCCCTCTGAAGGGTCTAGGGGAGAATGTGTTCCTTGCTTCTTCCAACTTCTGGTGGCCATTGGGCATTCCTTGGCTTGCAGCCACATTCCTTCAATCTCTGCCTCCGTCTTTACGTTACCGCATAAAGGGCATGATCTGCTCACTGCGAGACAAAAGCCAGTCATCAAGAGGCAAGATGGTGGAAAAGAAAGGATAGTTTATTACAGCTTGCTAGCAAGGGGGAAGATGGCCAACTAATGTCTCAAAGAACCATCTTGAGGGGGCACAAAATCTTACAGCAGTTATATAGGCCATTAAGTTATAGGGAAGGGGGTTAGGAATGTTGACCTTCTGGTGTTACAGACTGGGAGTGCCACACCAGATCTTTCAGTTTTCATTGATGATGGCTATCAACATAGACTCTCTGTTCGGGAGTCATCACATTCCTAAGGAACTCAAAAGAACAAAGTTATCTTCTTATCACAACTGGGAGGTATATGCACAAGCTGGGGTCGTAAAATCTACAGGTCAGTTAGATCTCTTGGAGGGTGCGTATCCAGCTGGGTTAGTTAGTCAGAGGTCATTCAGAGTTACAGTGGGGCTTCTGTTCTACAATATGGCTTCCCTTATGTCAACCTTGTCTTGAGCCAGTATCATTCACATCACCTTCTCTGTGTGTCTCTTCCAAGGAGACTTGTCATTGAATCTAGTGCTCATCTGGATAATCCAGGAAGATCTCCTCATCCCAAGATCCTTAACTTAGTTACATCTGCAAAGACTCTTTTCCCAAGTAAGGTAACATTACACCATTCACATGTTCTGGCATTAAGATATGGACATATCTTTTGGGGGGCCACCATGCAGCCACTACAGCTAGCGTTCTCCACTTTAAAGTTATTCTTTTCCCCTTTATAATTAATAAGTATTTTGTGGGGAGATACTTTGAAAGTATGTGAATGTTACACAGTACAATCACTTATTTCGATGCTCAAATTGTCCCCATTTTGGTCGCTGGGAGCCCCTTCAAGCTGGCTTCTATGCTCTTTCGACATGTCTCCATCATTCTTTGAGCACTTCCTTACTTTCTGGCATGGCGAGATGTTCCAGGTTTATCTCATGCCCCAGTCCTGGAATCAGCTATTTCTCCAAGGAGCCCTAGTTCCTTTTAGTGGCAAATAGTATTTAGAAACTGAGATCCAGGTGGTGGGTGTGCTCATTGCTAGTAGTTGGGAGCTTCTCCAAGGCCCTTCTCTGAAATCTGGCTCTGATTATCCTTATTTGGTTACTCCCCTTGTAACCAAGCTCCCATCTCTGCCACCACCCTTCTCTCACAGATGCCTTCCACACCCCACTCAGGCTCTGACCCTCTACGCTGGGCTCTTCCCTCACCATATGGATGCCTTCCTCGCCCTTCGTGGGCTCTGACACTCAGTTTTGGGCCACAGTGACTCCCCCCACCCCACAGGCACATTGCCGACCTTGTTCTGCCTCATCTTTGGGATTGAATTGTTCCAGAAGGGAAAGGAAGAGGAAGCTTTTCTCTTATTTTCAAATTATAAGCGGAGGAAGATGGGCATGGATGTTAGCCCAGGGCCAGTCTTCCTCAGCAAAAAAAAAAGAGGAGGATTGGCATTGGATGTTAGCTCAGGGCTGGTCCTCCTCACACCAAAAAAAAAAAAAAAAAAAAAAAGAAACAAAACTCTGGGCCGGCCCCGTGGCTTAGCAGTTAAGTGTGCGCGCTCCGCTACTGGCGGCCCGGATCGGGTCCGGGCGCACACTGACGCACTGCTTCTCCGGCCATGCTGAGGCTGCGTCCCACATACAGCAACTAGAAGGATGTGCAGCTATGACATACAACTATCTACTGGGGCTTTGGGGGAAAAATAAATAAATAAAATTATTAAACGGGCTGTTTTAAAAAAAAAAAAATTATAAGCATTTTCTCCTGCTCACAGTCTTCATAGGAATCATTTTGTTTTTAATTTTATTTATTTATTTTTCTCCCAAAGCCCCAGTAGATAGTTGTATGTCATAGCTGCACATCCTTCTAGTTGCTGTATGTGGGATGTGGCCTCAGCATGGCCAACAAGCGTCGGTGCGCGCCCGGGATCCAAACCCGGGCCGCCAGCAGTGGAGCGCGCACACTTAACCGCTAAGCCACGGGGCCAGCCTGGAATCATTTTTAATGGCAACCTATTTAGTATTCTGTGGTCTACTTAATCATCTCTCTGTTTGAATATTTAAACAGAGAGAAACTGCCTCCAATTTTTCCTTCTATGACTGATACTGCCATGAACAGCAACAGGCCTATCACGTTGTTGTAGTTATTGTGGTTGTTTTATCCATTCTAATAGGTGTGTAGTTTTTCATTGTGGTTTTTCTTAACAGCTTCACTGAGATATAATTCACCTACTGCTATAGGCTGAAGGCTTGTGTCCCCTCAAAATTCATATGTTTGAAATCCTAACTCCCAAGGTGATGGTATTAGGAGGTGGGACCTTTGGGAGGTGATTAGGTCATGAGAGTAGAGCCTTCATGATTGGGATTAGTGCTCTTATAAAAGAAACCCCAGAGAGCTAACTTGCCCTTTTTGCCATGTGAGGACACAGCAAGAAGGCACTGTCTCTGAACCGGTAAGTGGGCTCTCACCAGATACCAAATCTGCTGGTGTCTTGATCTTGGACTTCTCAGCCTTCAGAACTGTGAGAAATAAATTTCTGTAGTTTATAAGACAACCAGTTTATGGTATTTTGGTATAGCAGCCTGAACAGACTAAGACACATACTACAAAATTTACCCATTTATTTTTATTTTTATTTTTTTATTAATTTTATTTATTTATTTTTTCCCCCAAAGCCCCAGTAGATAGCTGTATGTCATAGCTGCACATCCTTCTAGTTGCTGTATGTGGGACGCGGCCTCAGCATGGCTGGACAAGCAGTGCATCGGTGCGCGCCCGGGATCCAAACCCGGGCCACCAGCAGCAGAGCGCGCGCACTTAACCGCTAAGCCACGGGGCCAGCCCAAAATTTACCCATTTAAAGGGTATAATTCAGTGGCTTTTAGGATATTCAGAGACTTGTGCAACCATCACCATAATCAATTTTAAAATATTTTCATTACCCTGCAAAGAAATCCCACACCCCTTACAGACCTATAGCTTCTAATAAGAAGGCTGGAAGTAGGGTATGGTTGAGATGGGTAGCCTTGCTCTTGGCTCACCTCCAGTGACCCTGAGCTTAAGATGAGGCCCGAAAGTCAGCTGGCTCTCAGACCTCCCCTATCATGACAACCTCCTGCTGGCCTGCTCAGAGTCTCTCCACAAGTCCCTCTCCTTCAGCTCCCGCTTCAGACTCTAACCCTGGCTTCCTTCAGTGGGGTCAGAGAGAGGGAAGAAGGGCTGCTCCTTGCTTGCTTTAAGCTGACAGGGCCTCTTCCACCTCCCTGGGGAATTAGAAAAGAGAAGTGACCCCAGTGTACAGAACCAAGTCAGGGGCCTCCAGCCCGGAGGGGTGATGGTGGGGAGGACCCCAGAGTCTTTTCATCTTTGGTTCCAGTGCTCAAACCTCAAAAGTCAGGGCTTTCCTTCTCTGTGAAATAAGAGCAGATTCTTGATCATTTTAGCCCTCTGAACCCATCTAAGAGGCTCCATGACAACAAAAAGCCAAAAAGAGACAGAGGGAGTGCGTAAGTGAACACTTGTAGTGACTCAGAAGGGCCCTCCCCACAGGTGAAGGGTACTCGCTTACAAGCCTCCAGGACTAAGAACAGGATGGGGGTGGGGAGATTCTTCCAGGTTCCAGTTTTATTCAGCA